AGAATTGTGTGGTCTGCTAAGTACTGATACATTTTAGAGAAGCTTTTTCTGGAAGTACAAAATCTGAAATTCTTTATTTTTAAAGCAAGGTAATTTGCAGTGCAAGGACCACACTGTCAAACAATGAAGGCAAATGGCTGCGATCAAGTGGCGAAAGGCACGAAAAAAGTATCGGATGATGCGTTAACGAACTACAGAGCAATGTGTGAGAAGACATGCGGTTTCTGCGTTGAATCATAAGCTAGCTCCTTTCCAGGTCAACTTTTAGTAGAGCACCTGTGTTATAGCTTGAACAAGAATGACGAAAACGCTACTGATCAACTATTAAAAGTTTGAACTATGCTAACCAACAGCAGCAAAATAAAGAAGTGCTGAGACTGCCAAAATTAAGCTGTTACGAGCTGCTGGCAAAATTTCTTTGCTAAATTTCGTGGTGTAGGAGCTCAATTTCTTTAGTTAAAAATTACCACCCGAAAGGTGCTACTAATTTTTCAAAAAATTCGCTCATTTTTTTCGCTTTATCTCAGTTACTTCAAAATTGAGCTGTTACTCAATGTATTTTGACCTACCACTTACTACACAAATCGAATGATTTGTTAGCATTATTATTTTTCCAGTGGTACTGTTGTGTGCGTACCGATAGTTATTTGTAGCGTTTTTTAAAAGTGGATTTTGTTAACGAGAAAGCTATTAGTGTTTTAGTTTGATTGCGACGGATTTAGCTCCACTGAAGAAATCGAAAGTCAAAACCTTTCCGCATGCGCTCTCGTAAGTGTTGAAATCGTCTCGAGTGGAGGCAATTGTCAGGTGCCGCCATTAGCTCGCAGGAATGTCGATTGCTTTCATTTTTCGAAAAACTGCTTAGCGGGCTGGGGATGCATAATTTAGTGTGATATTCAAATGTTTACGAAATTACTTATGTTCGCTGTGTGCTTCTGCTAACAAATTCTCGATAACAATAATCAAGCTGATCTACAAAATTTCTTTATTAAGTAAAGATTTAACAGAAATGCGAATAGCTGTTTACTATCACAAGTTAATCTACCGAAGGGAGAGCCTGAGTTCTCTTTTTTAGCGGGCAACCATTCCACACTAGTTGATGAAGCTGTGGGCCAAGCGCAGCAGTGACAATTCTTTTTGTCCTGCATTGTATGTCGGCTGTGCTCTCTGGCGTTAAAAGGTGTTATTAACACATAAAATGTAATTTCAGATACTGGTCGGAGAGAAGCTATTTTGCTTCGTGGTATTTGTGATTTGCATGCAAGATTTTTTATTGTTTCGTTTAGAACTGGAAATAAGAACGGAATAAATCTACCGCAATGTGGAAAAGAATGTCTGGGAGGAAAAAGACAAGAGAAAATAAATGGAGACATGAACCCGATAGCTACAACAGTTATGCATTTTGCGCAGCTTTGCTCATTAGGATTAGCAAAATTAACTTTCAGACAATTTCCGCATGGATTTTCATCTACCCCTATGTGAGATACAAGCGTGCAGGCGAGCTAATTTTAGATTTCTTACATCACATATTGACGGGTAGAATTCCTCAAAAATTCCAGCTTTCTATCTTGTTAGCTCCTCAATTTTCAAAAATTTATCGACAAAACTTCTACATGTTCGTAAAGGAAACTAGACTTATGTGGGGAAATAAATCTGAATTTCTAGAGTTTCAAGCAATGAGAAAACATTCTCCTAGAACTTCAGCTTTCTGTCTTGCCTGGCTTATGAGGTGAAAAATTTCTCTCGTGATATTTCGTTTTATTTGTTTATGAGCTGTGAGAGCTGAGCTTAAATATCCATGGTCACACAGATGTGGTTGTAAAATTTTAGCTTTCTATTTTGCCTGGTTCTCAAAGTTGGCAAATTTAGCATCAATGCTTTCACGCACTTGAGCGGGGGAATTAGCGGGGGAATTGAAAGTGGAATTTGCAAGGTCGCACATGGACAAGGAAAAATCTCCAAATACTTCAGCTTCCTAACTTTTCTGGTTGGAGTATTCTGGACAAAATTCCGAACATACACACGGCAGATATGCATTTTGCACCACAATTACAGTTTAAAAATGCGCTAAAACGTATCAGATTGCTAGTGTGATCATAAGTTTTTGCACTAAATTTGAAGCAGCCGGGTGGTTTTTGCTTTACACTTACTTTGCGCGCACACTACCGTCAGCCGTCATAAATTTTATATAAACGAAATTGGCCAATTTCCATGAAGGTCGTTCTCTAAAAATAAACTAACTGGTAAGAGTAATTATCTCACCAAAACTTTTGAGTGCCCGTGAGAACCATGCATATCTGGGGATTGAATTTGAAAACTGTAAGATGTACTTGTCCAGAGAACATTTCATCAAAATTTCAGCTTTCCAGCTTTTCTGGTTCCCGAATTAGCAATTTTCCCACGAAAACTTCCACGTGGCCATACGTAAATACCACGAGTATTTGGGAGCTGAATTCGAAATCTTTAAATTGTGTGTGGATGGCGTACATCCTCTTAAAAATTCGGCCCCACAATTACTGTGGTTTTCAAGTTTGCGATTTCCCGCCAAAACTTTTACTTGGTCGTGCGTGAAGGCCAAGCACACCTGGAGACTAATTTAAAACTAAGTTCTACGTGAACGCGGAACATCTCCTTAAAATTTCAGCCGTTTAGCTTCTCTGGTTCCCAAGTTAGCGGTTTTCCGCCAAAAATTTTTACGGTCCCACAAGTGAGAACCATGCCTATCCGGATGGTAAATATGAAATATTCCCTTAAAATTTCAACCCCCCCGGCTTTCTTGGTCCCCAAGCTAGGAACTTTTGCTCTAAAACTTTCATTTGCTCGTATGCTGAGACTCAGACGTGCGTGAACGTTGGTGCCGCGGCCCTGTAGTGGCACTTGACCAATGAACTCACTGGCAAAGTTTCAACGCCCGAGCTTGCTTGGTTGTCGAGTTGAAACACGCGGACAAATGCACGCACACACACACACACGCATACACACATACATACATACGACATATACACATATGCATACCATGGATCGTCACAACGTGCGATTTTGCATTTGCACCTCGTCAGTTAATTGGCTGGGAATACAATGAATATCAAAATTATCCGGAAATCACTGTGGGTATCCCATGTTAATAATGTTACTGCAATACTGCCAGGCACGGGTGCAGTCATATCAAGCCCTTCGATTCTGAGACATCGCTCTACTCTTCACAGCCAGTGCTCACTTCTTGACTTTCGTCGTTGGCCGAGTTTTCCACTGCACGACATTACCTGTAATAAACTGGTATTAAAGAGATGAATACGACCCGAAAAGGCTGATACTGAAGATATGAGCACGGTCTTACGGTTTGAAACTGAGCGAGCTGACGAAGCTGTGAAATTTGCGACAACTTGCGGCTTTCATACGTGCATCGCCTTTTGGCGATGGCGACGCTGGTGATGTTTTGCTTCCTGTCCATGATAGTCGTAACTGCAATAACTTCCCCAGCTCAGCAACTAACGAGGAAGAAGAGGCAAATGATTGGTGGTTCACGGAACTTCTAGTCACTATTGTGCTTCAATTGAAACGCGAAGTTGTCGTGTATATTGTGTTCTACATCCACGTTCACGGTTTATTTGTACAAAAAAAGCCAAACAAATAGTACCGAAACAGCCAATAACAATCACAAGATAAGTAAACAGCACCAAAAAACACCAAAGAATCGCGTCGTAATATACATATTTTTTAGTAGTAAGTCCTACTGGCTGTTATGTAGTGTTTAGAGGACGGAATTCTAAGATGCAAAAGCTACACGGGCCCTGATTACGTAGCCTGGGTGAACTTTGATCTAAAACTGGATTTATCGAGATTCTTCTGAGTCCAGTTCGAAAAGGTCGGAAAAGCCTTCCTTTTGTGATTACGTCGTATGTCTGCATTCTTGCGGCAGATACTCTGATGCGTTGCATCACCACTGCTTTTGATGCGTTAATTTTCAGGCCTATTTCCTTGTGTAGTACAATAGTTTATTCTCTTAGCAGGTTATAAAGTTACAAACGCCTTTAATAATCAACATAAACTTGAAAGCTGCAATAAAAGATTTGAGACAAATAACCAATACGCGAGAAATACAGCTGATGTAACACAGATACTCAGAACAGACGTTACTGCGCAATTCGACAAGCAAATTACACTACCCAGTGTTCCGTCGCCTGATTTCCTGCAGTGGTTTAACTGCGCTCACAAACATGCAGTTGCCATTGTGTGCGTGTCCGTGTGGATTCCGTAATTCACTTTCAACTCAGCATTTAGAGAAGCTAAGAAGCTGAAATTTCACGAGATGTTTCAAACGTTTGCAAAACAGCTAACTTAAACCACATGTACATTTGTATCATATGCAGTGGCGTCTAAACAAAAACATGTAAGTTTTTTGGCGGGAAGACGAGTTTGGGAATCAGACAAGATAGATAGTTGAAATTTTACAAGGATATTCAGTGCCCCTGTATGAGCTAAGGATTTCAACTTTAAAGCATGCCTACATCACTCGTTGCAATCACGTCAAAATTGAAATCGAAACATTGGTGACAAAATTTTAGCTTGGAAACTGGGCTGCGCAGAATGCTGTGTTTTTACGCAAACATTTACTGTCTATGTGTGGGCCCGTAAACGCAAAATTAGCTTTCGTTTATGCCCCATCACGTCTACGAGTACGACGAATATATGTGCAGCGAAAAAGTAATTTACGAAACCAGTCAAGCTACGAAATTGAAATTTTGTGAGAGTACTGGCTAGCCAAACGCCACCTAAACTCTTTAAATCCAGCTTTGCGGCGCCTCTAGCTTTCGCATTAAGCGTAATTAAATTTCAGTTTTTTTGATAATTTTGTTCCTCATTTAGCTGTGTAAACAGAATGAACAGAAGGCTGCAGTTTTATGAGACTGTTGACTGTCATTTGAGAGCTTCTAAGCACGAAATGAGTTCTTCCTCGCGTGGTTGTGCAACTTGTAAATTATCTTTCACAATTTCCACTTGCAGGTGCGTCAGTATTCAGATTGCAGTGCTTTCGTCATCCCTCTCGCTCAGTACTCAGACAGGCGAGAAAGCACAAACTTTACGAAAATGCTTTTCACGGCTAGAGCTGTGCTACGACTGTGTATCACTTTTCATAAGTGCCCATACGTCGTGTTTGTACACGGTGAGCTTATGGATCCAAAATCGACGGCAGAGCCTCTTCACGTCACTCATGCGTACTTTAGTTTGAGACACCACGC